GTAACGTTTATTGATGCAGCTGAAGTTAACGTTTGATTGAATAAAAGGGTTAGATTTAAATGTCCAATAAACAAAATAAACCCTCAATGGATGATAAACTCTGATTAAAGTTGGTCCAATCTGGTCAACGCAGGGCTCATATGCAATTTTGAAAAGAAAGAAAAGGCTAAAGTACAATTAGAGGAAATTTCTGAATTTTGAATAAAATAAAAAGGGTTAAAATGTAATTTTGCGCAAGTTTAAATCTGTTAGATATTTTAAAAGATAATTTGGAGAAAATATATCATAAGATATTTTATTTGATATTGTTAAATAATTATCTTATTTAACTATATCAATAAACATCAAAAGATAATATTTGCCAAATCTTTTTGAATCTAGAGAAGATATTATCAAATATTCTCAAAAAATGATTAAATTTGTTGAATATTTACAAGATATTAGATAAAAGATAAAAGATTTTATCAATAGAAGATTCAGAGTCCAAGCCCAATCAAACCTGTATAAAGAGACCTAGAGGAGGCATAAATCATAACTCATTCATTCACTTAGACTCCTTCGTTGGAAGCAAGCATCCACCACTGCTCTCATTTTATTTTATCATGTATTCCACTCCATTCATGGAGGGTTAAGCTTCTAGGGCTATTCCACTTAAACTTCATTATGGATTCTGAGGTTAATTTGAATTAATGAATTTTTTCTTTTGATTATTGATTTGAGTTATTCATCTTTTATGTCTTTCATCTCTCAATCAGATTAAAATCAATGATTTTTGAATCATAAGGTGTTTGAATCTACATGCATATTAATCATGTGAGTTCAAGGGTTTCTAGGTTTGATTAAGAATTTACTTTGATTGAATTTAGGAACTTTCATAAGATTAAATAAGTTTTTGCTACTAATTGAGAATGTACTTTGATTGGTGGTAAGAATTTGAGCTATAATTAATTGAGAATTTACTTTGATTAATTAGATTTTAACTTGGTTAGGAGATTTAACAATATACATGATTAAACACAATAGGATTTGATTAATGTACTTTGGTTGAATTCATTGTGAATAATCTAGGAAGGTCTTGCATTTGATTGCGAATCTACTTTGGTTAATTGTATGGTCACCCTCAAGTTAATTAAGAATATATTTTAATTAATTTGAAACTCGAGATAATCAATTGAACAATAATCTGTGGATAACCGATGATGAATATCTTGGAAAACCAGTGGAATTATACTATTTCATCATAATTATTTCTAAGTTTCCTATTTGTTCTTCAATCATTCTCTGAACATTAACTTCATTAGCATAATTTCTCACTTTTATTCTTGATCATTGCATAGAATTCATAAGAGTCAAATATTGAAAAGCAATTTCATATTAATTGAAGACGACTCAGGGTTACTTTAACCATATCTACTTTCTTGAATACTACTTGGCAATACTGAAGTTGCCCTGAAAAGTAGTATTAATTTGATAGCTTTAACGACAGCGTATCACTTGGCTTCCAACTATATCGTCCTCCATTAAACAAATATTTGTTTGCTCATTAAAGTCGTTAATGGTTGATATAGAGCTTGATGAAGAGCTTGAATTATACTTTTCACACTCCTTTATTTTGGAGAATTTTCTTTCTTTACTTAGACAATTTGCTTTGATATGTCCTAATTATCCAGAACCATAACACCTAAATTTTAAGGAGGATCCTTGATTCTTCGTTTTGCAATCTTTGTATTTTCCTTTATTCTTCATGAACTTTGTGAGCATTTTTATCAATTGGTCTAGATCTGCGCAATCAGAATCATCATCATCTTTGACGCTTTTGCTATTGACAACCTTAGATTTAAAAATAATATTTCTTTTTATTCATCTATCATCTTCTTCTTTCAACCTTTTAAGTTCAATATCGTGCTCTCTTAATTTACCAAACAGATTTTAGAATTTTAATATTTAACTCTTCAATGTCAAAATTCTTACCTAAATTGGATAGTTGATTGACAATATGTGTAAAATGATTCTACACATCGTGGACTGTTTCCTAGTGTTTCATCTAGAACATCTCATATTCTTTGACTTAAGAGTTCTTTCGAGCACGCTTAACTTCATCTATGCCTTCATGTGTTACTCTTAGAATTTCTCATATTTCCTGAGAACTTTTACAAACAGAAATCATGTAAAACTCATCAAGGGTTAAAGCAAATGAAATAATATTTCTGACCCTAACATCATATTGAGCCCTCTTTTTCTCATCAACAATCCATTGGGCATAGGGTTTAGGTTCTTGCACGTTATTAACAATGATATTAGGAACAAAAGTACAATTTTCAACAACATTCCAAATACCAATATTGATAGATTATAACAATATTTGCATTCTTATTTTCCAAAAAGCAAAATTTTTTCAGCAAAAAGATGGGGTCTGTCAAATGAAGCACCCTAGGAAAATGTTTGATATTGTCCAAACATTTTCAAAAAAATTTGAATAACTATCAAAGCAAGCTTTGTTACTAATTGTCAGAGCGTTGCAACGGAATGGTTATCGTGTTTGGACAAACATCAAGATGACAGGGTGAATTGATTTATTGTTCTTTGAAAATAATTTTTCTTCTCTCTTTATAAAATTACTTAACAAATAATATCAACAACAATAAAGAGTGTAGGGAAAGAGAGATTTGCACAAGTAATTTTATACTAGTTCAAATCTCAAGGATCTTACGTCCAGTTGCTATCCCAAATAGAGATTAACTATCCGCTATCACAAAAGCAATAAATTATTACAATCACACAGAAAGACAAGTTTAAGGGTTTAGAAACACCTCTCTTGTTACCCGAAGAGGTGATACTCACTTCCTCTGAAAACCACAAGAGATGAACACCTCCTTCGAATGTTTCATGAAGGATGAACACTTTCTTTGAATCTTCACAAAGGATGATAGGCTTCACTCAGTAACAAAAACAACACTCAATCACACTCCCAATGAAAGTTCTCGCTCTATGTCAACACCAAGTTCTTAAAGCCACCACACAATGGTTACACAAACCCTAGGTCACACTTTACTTTCCAAGTTCAGTTGTGTGTGTTAGAATGAAAGTCTAAAGCATCTTTATAAAGACCTCACTCAAGGACACCTCTAAAAATTCGTTGTCAGTCTTTTCTCGCGTGATAATCGATTGTTTAAATGAGATAATCGATTATGCATTTAGTGAATGAACAACAGTCAAAAACATGCTTGAAAACTCTCATAATTGCACGTGATAAACGATTATGGTAAGTCATAATCGATTATGGATAATCATAAGTTGGTAATCGAATATTCCAAGAAAAAATGAGTTTTTAAAAAACTTTTAAACACACAAAACATGTAATCAAGGATAAATAACACTCTATACATAAAACTACAACTGAATTACCAAAGCTTTAATATAAAACAAGTCTTCATGAAAGTCTTCTTACAACTTGAACACTTACCGACTTGATTTTGGACATCATGAAAACTTCTGCACTTCATTTTTATGCTAAAAATTTAGGTAATGAAAAGAAGATCTTATTAAGGCAATAAAGGATGAAATGAAAAAAAAAATATGAATTTTGAAATAAAGAATATCTTAGAAGATTCCTCAATAAAAAAAATAAAAAACATAGAGGCCAGCTTCTCACGGGATAAAAATAAGAGACTGATTAAAATAGTTTATCTAGAATAAAGCTAACCAAAGTTAGAACAATTAAGCCTACGTGGGTGTATAAAATAAAGTCTCATATTTCCATTCAAAGTTGATAGGATGATGTTACTTAAGCTATAAAAGAGACAATAACTGCTTATGCAAATGAACCTTTGAAATAGAAATTAATTGAGTAATTTTGATAACCTTTAGTGTTTCTTTGGGAGAGAATTGCTTCCTTAATTGAGATTTTCTTAGTATTCTCTCATTCTCTGGCCTTATTGGAGCTTTTAAAAAGTGAGCCATGAGACCTTCCAAGACTTTTAGACAACCTTCTATCCCTCACCTTTTCCATCACCTAAGCTTGTCAAGAACCACCAAAACACAAAATAAAGTTTTTAACCAAAGACACACCATACCACCACCAGTGTATCCAAGTATCTCCAGCAAACTACCAAGAATCCTTGCCACCACCTCATCCCTTTAGCTCTTGGCATCATCATTTTTCCCACCCAATTTTCATATAAAATTCAGCAAACCTAGATCAATCTAACCCTTGTCCCATCCACAACAAAACCATAAGATTGGATTACCAAAAATACCCCTAAATATAACCACGAAACATCTTCCACCCATACTCCTAGCTTCCACTAGATACCTTTAGTTTCTCTGATATTTCCTTGAAGAAGCCTTCCAATACTCAACCCAATTCCTCGTAGAATCAATCTAAAGCAGCCTAGGTCCTAATCCTCTCATTCTTAAGGTCAATTGATACCATAACCTACGAAAACGAAGCAAACAAACCAAGAATCCTGATCTTGAAAGTTTAGTATGTTTTGACATCTTATTTCATCTTGAAGCTTTAACAAAATTTCCTTGACAATATTTGAAAGTCTAACCATATCCGACAAACTAAAGAAACCTAATTATAACTTTAGAAGAGAAAGTTTCACTATAAATAAAATAGATAAAACCTCAAGAAGAGAAATTCTAACTTTAAAAGAAGTTTCTTAAGTTCTTGGCCAAAAGAACTTCCTAATCAAAGAAGAAAAAAATGAGATATTATCACATTTTTCTCACTTTAAATACAACTATAACCATTTTTTATGCAAAGTAAACCAAATAAATCAATCCAAATCCTATTCTGATCCAACCGATAATAAATTGGTAAGACAATTAGTTCAAGACTGATGAAGGCTACGATGTCACATTAACAAGGTCAACGCAATCAATTCCAAGAGCCAAAGAACTTGATAATCTCTTCCAGCAATCTTTTTTCTGATTTGTTAGATTAGTGAAATTGTAACATCCTAGCTGAATAAAGACTCAAGTCCTGCTCACACCCTCTGTTGTTTTCTAATTGACGAAATCAATAAAATACAAATAGGTGAAAAATAAGAAAAAAGTCTAAGGAACGTATGTTATGCCATTTATTACATATTTAATGAAGGTGACTTAAAGTCCCTCATAAAGCACCAAAGACCTGCTTGAGTTATAACTCAAGTTACGTCCAACTAGGGATCTGCTTGAAGTCCCTCGTAAAGAAACAAATTGATCTAACATCAGCAAATAAATAAGGAACAGGTTTATTTTCATTTAGAAAGAAATACCAATAACACAACTACAAAAATCACCATCAAAGACAATCAGATTAAATCGAAGCAATTAATATTCTGATTCACCTTGCAACCTCTACTAGCTACAAAGATGTGTTGAAAAGTTGGAATCAAAATGTAGAAAAAAGAACTTGGGACATAATTTCCTTTCAGTCGAAAAAAATATATATAAAAGGAAGAAAAGGGGAAAAAGATACGGAAGTTCTTAAATGCCCAGAGGGGAATTTAAGAAGATAATGAAAGAATTTTAAAGAACGATGAGGGAAACACATATCTTTTTCATGGAACTGTACAATGTTCCTTGAAGTCAGAAGTGGAAAACTAGAACTGTTACTTTGTATTTGCTTGGAAGCTGAAACAGAGCCCACTAAAACACGCATGCGGCCAATTCTTCTGCACTACTTGCTCCTTAGCAAGGGGTAAAAGAAAAGGTCCTCTGAATCTAAATTAACACAACAAATAAGCATAACTTTCGAATACTCCATTGATTGATTCCTTATGACGTTTCTTACAGAGATACAGCACAGATCAGAAGAACTGCATTACAGTTAGAATCTTGGAAGAATTATATGATTATAATTTATAACATTACATGAATAATATAGAGTAACCATATTATCTAATTTGCAGAACATATATAAAACTTATCAAAAATAAATTTATCTCTGGGCACCAAAAAATTTGATCCTTTCTCTTTTACCTATCGGGTTTTGACGAATTCCGCATCGGAAACAGCAGAGTTCTCGATTTGGCTAGCCTCGTCTTCGTCAATCGGAGCCGGCAGGTTGAGATCTATGAAGCTGTTTCCAAACTTTGCCGAAGTTGATGGAACTGTTGAGGGTGCTGACCCAGTAACATGGGTTCTCTTGTGTCCTCCAAGTGCTTGACCCGAAGCGAAGACTCTGAAACAAACGGGGCACTCGTGGATTTTCTTCTCCACGCCACACGTCCCACTTTTCTTCCTGTGCTCAACTTCCGCTTCTTCACCGTCCACTTTCACGTTCACTTTGATCTTCTTGTGACTCGCTCGGTGGCCCCCCAAAGCTTGGTACGATCGAAACACCTTGTTGCACGTGTCACATTTGTACCTTCCTCGTACTCGGTTCTTGCAAAGTTTCATCGTCTCTTGCGATTCCTCGCTCTCCTCGAATGCTTCGTCTTCCTCCTCTTCTTCCTCCTCTTCCTCTTCCTCCTCCTCGTATTGATCTTCCACATCCATGAATTGCGGTTGGTCCTTATGTCGCTTCCATTTGTCCCTGGAAAGCAGCATCAGACAGAACGCCACGTCTTCCTCGGTAGTTGCTTCGGAGACCGAGCTCGCAGGTTCGTGATCCACCCACGATTCTGTCTTACTCTTCTTCTTCATCAGGGCTTCATGTTCGGTTCCGAAAACTTGCTTCTTGATGCTGGGGGTGGTATAGTTGTTAGTATCATTATTATGATCATTATAATAATAATAATTGCTGCAATTAATATTATTATTATTATTGTTATTCCATGGCCTTTTGGATCTTTTACGAGTTGGGTTGCTCTTGGATGACTCGGACTCGCTCTCTCTGTCATGGAGGATCGCGGAGCCAGTGTCTGCAGCTGCGAAAGAGAATTCGGGATCCACGAGGCGAATGCTTCGTTTGGGGTTCTCTCTGAGGCCATAACAGAGACCCTTGTCACCGTCTTCGTCATCATCGGATGAGGAAGACGAGGAAGAAGCCGATTCGGCTTCGAAGCTGAGTTGGATGGTTCGCGGGGACGCTTCTTCGGGCTTTGAGAGAGGAAGGTTCATCATGTGAGAGCGCATGTGACCCCCCAAGGCTCTGCCATTGGAGAAGCTCCTGAAGCAAAGCTTGCACTTGTGCTTGTCCATGGCGAATGAAAGGAACGGAGTTCAAGAGAGTATTCGCATTTTGGTGAATTGAATTGCGCTGCTGGGATTATTGGTGGTGTGTTGCGCTTTGAGAGAGAGGGAGAGAGGGAAGGGAAGGGATGGAGTACCGAGTATGAGAGGAGTAGGTGACAAGCATTCCTCCACCGAGAGATATAAAAATGTAGAACAAATAATAAAAAGTCAAAAAAATGGAAGAGAAAATTAAAATGGGGGGTTTTCTTTTCTTTATTTCCCTTTTTACGGAAACCGTAAAAAGAATTAAAATTTGAATTTATTGAGGTTTAATTAAAGATGTGCATGCAAGAGAGAGAAAGAGAACATGTAACATGCCACACTTGCCCGTTTCTGTATTTATTCCCCACTCAATCTCTCTTTTCTTTTATTCATTTTCAAACCCTTTTTCCATTGCCCAACCTACCCCTTTTGCACCATATCAAGAAACTTACCAAAACCGAAGCACACGCTGTTCCTTTAATGGAAAATCACATTTTCTGATTTCTTTCATATCTTCCCATAAATTTTTTGTTTTCTGTTTCTTATATTGAAAAGGCCTCTTTGGTTTTCAGTTTCATTACGTTCATCAATGAAAGTCAATGAATTTAATATATATCATTCAATGACAATGAACAAAAATTATATTATTTATTATAATTCAATAAGTTTAATAATTGACTGCTTTAATACCAGTCAGTGTATGAATTACATATTTTTAAATGAAATATAACCAAGGGCATTTTCGAAATTTAACAGAGATCTCTGTTTCAAGAACGAAACAGCAAGAGGAGACCTTCTTTAATGACAGAAACAAAACGACCTCGTTCAGTTTCCAACGTCACTGAGCTGTGACCTTCAACCGAAGGATAACGCACAACCGTCGAAAGGAAGAGTTACACGTAACTCACATCACCCACGTGTCATTTTAATACCAAATGGATTTCGCAAATACTGGTTTATGATACTGTTATTGGCAGATTAGTTTATTATTATTATATTATATTATATTATTATTATTATTATTATTATTATTATTATTATTATTATTATTATTATGAATAAAAAGTTTTGTTTGTGTGTAGATAATCTGAGATCCAATTGTGAGCAATGGTAGGTTTAGCTTGAAATAGTATATAAGTATCCCAAATGAATGAATGTGTGTTTGTTTTGTGTTTCTTAAGAAATTGTATGTTGTGTTGGGGTGTGTGGTGTTGAGATCGATAATGATTTGCCTTGAATTTTGGATCTTTTTGTTGAACAAGAGTGAGATGGGAATGAAGGGTGAGAAATGGGTAAGAAACTAACTGTCCTTCCTTTGAGTATTCAAATTCCACGAGAAGTAAATGCCGTTTTGTTAGGGGTTGGTAGACCAAGTCCCACTACTCACTCTCATTGGTAGTGCCCCCATACACACACACATACATACTACACCTTTCCTTCATTTTCTACTTTTCCTTTTCATTTTCATTTCTTCAAAACAAAATGCAACTTGGCATCATCATGTTGTTATGTGTTTCAAATTCATTTGGCTAAATCTACTTTCTTTATAATATAATTCTCTAAATGTCTCTTTTTAATCTTCATCAAATTTTAATTATATATTTAATTTTTCAAGTTTTAAAATTAAATAACTTTAATGCATTACTAATATACTATCCACTTGTTAATTAAACAAAAACATATATTTATTAGAATTACGTGCATTAAAGTTTGCTCTTAAATTTCACTATTACTTATATAGATGACGAATTAATTATATTATCACTTATATACATTTAATATTTTCAATTAACAATTAAATAACATATTAATTTTGGACTTAAATTGCTTAAATTAATATAATTAGAAAACCAAATATATATTTAAAATTAAATGTGTATAAAAATATATTTATACATTTCTAAAACTATATAAGCAAATATAGATTTAATTCAATTATTTATTTTTCATATTATACATGTCACCCCTCATTTTCTCTCTCTTCTCTTTTATTTTCTTTCCCTTTTTTCTCATTTTCTCCTTTTCAAAAAATCAAAGTGAAAAAAAAAATGTAACTTTGCTCATTTTTCAGTTTACTATTCACATTTTTGTTAATTAGCATATCAACGAAATACTTCTATGTGATATCACTAATAACAAAAAAGTTGTGAATATTAACAACTGAGGATAGTTATTATCTCTGGATATTTATTATCGTGGATAACAGGTAGTGGATACAGAATGTGTATTATATTATTTGACCAACGAGAATCCGTTACTCACAAAAAATAATAGAAAGATAATTTATATTTTTTTAAATTAAATTTAATTAAAAATAAAATTAATTTTTATTTTATTAAAGTAAATTTAATTAAAATTAAATTTTAATTTATATTTAATTTAATTTATATTATACTATATATAATTTTTCTATTTTTATTTTAAAAATATATAAAATATACTAATTTTTTATAAATATATGCAAGTGCATACGGGTTTTAAAATATTCATAAATGTTTTTTAACCGAATACCCATTAGATAATATCTGCGAATAACACTATCGTACTCGACCTATTTTTATTCTAAAATCTTCATAATTCACCGTGGTTACGTTAACTAAAATATTATATATTTCATTTTTTACGGAATATAGTTTAATATTCTCTTTTAAATAATTTTAACCTACATAGTATTTTAATATTTTTTGTATTTACAAGAAAATTATAAAATATGGGATGGACGCTGAAGCAAATGAAGTCTGAAAATTTAATTTAATGTATAACGAAAGACTAGGAATAAAAGGGTCAAATGAGAGGGAATTTGGTATTATTGTCTTCCATTGACCAATTTCTAAAGTACTATATAATATCAGTAAAGTAGAAGTCAAAGTCCTTGTGACAAGTGGTTGGAAAGGTAATATAATAACGAGTTATTAGTAGTGAGGAGTTTCGTAAGTTTAAATTTCGTGATTATCTTGAATGAAAAGAAATAAAAGGAAGACAATTAAACAGTAAACTGATAAGGGTTAAAAGGAAACCACATTTATGTTATCATTATTTTGGTTATGATACACTGGTTATATATTTTTCGGATTATGTGTTTCAAGCCTCTGACTTCCTTTCCGTTTATTTTCTAAATCATTCAGTTTTGATTGGGAAGTTAGCTGCTCAAGGTAGATGTCAAACTTAATAATTTTGTTAATAATGTATAATAAATATAATTATTATTTTTATTTCAAATTTGTATTTATAAATTTTGAAATGAATTTGAGATTCCTGACGAAATCATTCTGATCTAATTAGTGTTAATTGTTTTTTTCATTACTTAGAATCTACTTAGATTACTAATAACCTAATTCTGACTCAATTGGATTATTGTCATTTAGAAGATCTTTATTTTTTATGATATTTTTCAAAAATGTCTCAATTGAATTCTTATTTAAAAAAAAATTAAAGTAATTAGATCATTGTCATTAGTTTCATACTAATACAGTTAAAGATGATGTTACACGTTTTTTATTTTTTTGAATTTTTTAAATATTTTTACTTTTATTTTTATTTTTTTAATTTTTAAAAAAAATTATCACATTGTGTCACATAATAATGACAGAATGATGTGGCATTGGTAATGTCATGTGTTATTGTTAGGTCTCATGTAATTGCATTAGTCTCAATTTAATCCTGTATTTTTATTTTGTCTCAATTTAGTCCTAATTTTTTTAAAAATTAAACATTTTTGTCCCTTCTCAAATTAAACCAAAATTTAATTTGTATATAAATTTTTAAAATTTTTTTTATTAAAATTGATATTTTTATTAAATATTTTTAACAAGATTAAGTTTATTTATATTTATATTTAGTTAATTATATACATGTTAATTATATTCTTTAAAAAAACAGTGACATTATTTTCTCGAAATTTTCTGCAACTTTTTATTTTAAGAAAATAAAATTTCATATTATTAATTTGTTCATTGACGTAAAAATGAAATTTTATATCATTGATATGAAATTTCACTTTTTCTTAAATAAAAATTTGAAATTTTTTAGTGTGGAAACAATAATTAAAAGTAGTTTCTTCTTTCATAATCTTCTACATTAATTAGAAATTTCATGAAATTTTCTTTAATTTTTTATTTTAATAAAATGAAATTCCATGTCAATAATTAACATTTATATAATTAACTAAATATAGATATAAATAAATTTAATCTTGTTAAAAAATTTTGTAAAGATTTATATACAAATTATATTTTGTTTGAATTTGGAGAATAAAAATTGTTTGTTTTAAAAAAATGAGGACAAAATTGAGACAAAATAAAAATACAACGACCAAATTGAGATAAAATAAATATAGAGAAACCAAATTGAGACTAATGCAATAATATGTGGTCTAACAATGACACATCACATTATCAATGTCACCTTACACCCACATGGCACAATGTTAGCTTCACATGTAACATTTTTAAAAAAAATTAAAAAAATTAATAAATAAAAATAAAATAATTACAAAAATATATAGAAAATTTTAAAATAATCACAAACTTTCTTTAATCGTGTTAGTACCGAACTAATGACAAAGACCTAATTGTTTCAATTTTTCAAAAATAAAAACTCAATTGAAATTAAAAATAAGTGAGGGACCTATATAAAAAAAGTCATAAAAAGTAAAGACTTTCTAAATGATTAAACCTTATTATTTATATTGAATCATGACCAAACAGTCTCTCAAGTGGTTTCCGTAATTACTCTGAACTATATAAATTAAACGATCATATAGAACAATTACAATATTAAAATAATGTTTTAAACTAACATTTTATATAATATAAATTTGATGACTAATATAAATAATCATAATATATATATATATATATATATATATATATATATATATATATATATGTGTGTGTGTGTGTGTGTGTGTGTAACATCCCAAAAATATAGCTGCAAACTATATTCAAGGTACTTACATTTACAATAAAAATAGAACAGTTACAAGAAATAAAGTTTAACTTACAGTTATCCTAAAATAACCATAAATTAAAAAAACTTTATAGAAACCTACAC